GCAAGCCAAGCATAAAGAGCTTGTACCCTTTGGTGAGAACTTATTCTGCTTGTGAACTGCTTTCATGGTGGAGCACCTGTATCCCCAGGGGGATGCTGGAGCTGGTTCTTATGACTAAGATCTGTGAGAGATATCAGAGAAATGGTATCATGCCCAACTTTGTCAGCAAAGTCTCTGAGAGTGTAGCTGGTTAGGTCCTCCAAGCTCTTGGGAGACTGAAAATGGTAGAAAAAGACCAAGATGGGTGTTGCAAACTGACACTCCAGAAACAGATCTGCACAAAATCACCAGATAGGTGACAGCTACCAACAAGAATCATTAGAACAAATGATGTTGGATTTTTTTTAAAAGCAATCTGAAGCCTAGTCTAATATCTTTCTTTGTAATTGCCCTTACTCCTAAGAGGCAGGTCTTAAAGTTTCTAGCCCAAACAAATGGTGTTTACCAGGGCTTTCCCACTCATTGCTGTTTCTCGGTGTTTGTTTGAATTTGAAGGCTGTCAGAAGTTATTCAGTTTCCTATCTACCTGCTTTGGATCTGGCAGGTGCCTCCAAATACCAAACCAGTTTCATTTTTTTGTATCTTCATTCTTTCCTGGCCCATCTCAGTAAATATTTACTCTTGTTTTCCAGTACCTGCAAGCAGATGTGTAAAATATATATTCAGCTTTTCTTATTGTCCAGAGTGGGAGACTTAATTCAAATTGCCTAATCCTCTGTTGTTAGAAGATTTTTCTCTAGATTTTTTGGTATGAGAGAGAGTACATTTTTCATAGTATTCAAGATAATTGAGTTAAATTTTCTGTGTTGTCTGCTGAAAACCTCCTTATAATTAGTATAGAAAATAGTTATTTCTTTGTAACCCTGAATATAGAATGGCTGAACTACTTTTCAAAGCAGAAAAAGAATTTTCTTTGAGACCGTTTTATCTATGACACTAGATATTTGGAGGACTAATGTAAATATTTCCCAAGATTACCATTGAGTAATTGATGAATACCCAAACTGGAGAACTGAAAATGTTGTATGTAGTTTTTTGTACATAATATTTAACAGGTTCAGAATTAATTCTGACTTAGGTAAGATTTGTACAAATATGCGAATAGTTTTCTGTAATTCTTAAGTATCCATAGAAGAAAAAATTTGGAAACAGTCTGTTGGCAAATATAGCCCAGGGCCTCATACGTTTTGAATCAGAAAGTTCTTTCCATGTACCTGTTATATTTAAAGCTATTCATATTTAGTCATCCTAGAAATAGAGAACAGTTAATGTCTATAGCCCATGTTTGGTCTATTGTTATAGTGTAGTGTTCACAACCCCCCCAAAATATGCTTAAACAAACGTATGATGTGAATATTTGTTCTGGGGTAATAAATGGGCTCTTTTACCTGGATATTTTTGGCAGATGGTAGCAAATGAGACTGAAGGTAGATTGGGGCTAATTGTATAGGACCCTAATAGGTTAGAATGTTTTGACTTTGTCTCAGGAGCTTTTGAGTGAGAGTGAGAAGGCAAATAAGAATTTTTTGTATATTAACTTAGTAATACTTTGTCATTTAGTCTGGAGAAGAAAAATATACTGAAAGCAGGGATTACAAAAAGTTCTTAATAGTCAGTAGTGATGGTGTACACTTGTGATCCCAGCTGTTCTGGAGGCTGAGGCAGGAGGATCTAAATTCAAGGCCAGGCTGGACAAGACCCTGTCTCAAAATGAAATTTTAAAAAGGACACTGGTAAATGCTTGCTTAGTTTGTGAGAGGCCCTGGGTTCAATCCCCAATATTGTAAAACAAACAAAAGCTCTAGTAACTGTATAAGGTAAGAAAAATCTGATTTTTTAATAGTAAAAACGAATGACAAGAAAGGGGTGCACTTTGCATTTTAAAGTTAGAGTATTGATGTTTATACATAAGAATTTAAGAGAGTAAAGCAGAGAAGGTTCTCAGGTTGTAAATATGGATTAAAGGTAGCATAATATGGGTATCAATACCAGAAGCTGGTAAGTCAGAGGTTGAAGATAGATTGAGAACAAGAATGATGAATTTGAGTAATAAGAGTTGTTAATTTTATAACATTATGTAAGGGACTATTCACTAAACATGAGATTATTTTGGAAATTTGATCATCTGAGCAATTTATGATTATTAAAATGTAAATTTTAATAATCATATTATTAAAAGATATGGGCACATATCTTTTAATAATAATAAAGATAATGGGCACAATATCTTTATTTCATTCATTTATTTTATGTGGTGCCTGGGATTGAACCCAGTGTCCACACATGTGAGGCAAGTGCTTCATCACTAAGCCACAATCCTGGCCTCTTCATCACTAAGCCACAATGCTGGCCCTTTAAAATGTATATTTAATAATAAAAAGCTATATGTTGTATTGTGAGTAGGGAGTACTACATTATTGCTTCAGAATTTACTGCTATTGTTGGTGCATATTATTATTATTATTATTTTAAAGTATTTTTTAGTTGTAGGTAGACATAACACCTTTATTTTATTTATTTATTTTTATGTGTTGTTGAGGATTGAACCCAGTGTCTCATGTGTGCTAGGCAAGCACTTTACCACTGAGCCACAACCCCAGTCCTATTTGGCTCTTTTGAGTATATGTAAACATATCTCTGTGTATTATTCATATTCTTTTCTTTGTTATGCAGTGAGGAAGATCTAACTTATCATTTTTAGTTTGTAATTCAGGGAGATTACTTTATCCATGGATATTCTGATTTTTCATTTTTTTTTTTTGAATTTTTAATATTTATTTTTTAGTTCTCGACGGACACAACATCTTTGTTGGTATGTGGTGCTGAGGATGGAACCCGGGCCGCACGCATGCCAGGCGAGCGCTCTACTGCTTGAGCCACATCCCCAGCCCCCGTGATTTTTCATTTTTTTAAAAATTAAAAATAACATTGTAAAAGAATATTGTGTATTATCTTTGGTACTTTGTTCAACTATTTTTATAGAATAAATCCCTAGAATTAGGCAAGAGGAAGTAAGTAGATTTAGGCAAGAGGAAGTAAGTAGATTTATCATTTTAATACCAGTAACTTTCTAGGAAGATTAGTATTGAGTCTTGTGTACATGTGTGCAAATTAATAATGTGATTTTTTTATTTTTAGACGTGTGTTTGAGTGGGGGACCTTCAAGTAATGTGTGATAGTATATTCCCCTTTGGTGGTCATTAAAATTAATGTCCAGGAAGGCCATGGAATTTTAGTCATTGTTTCTACATACTTTTGGCATGGAAAATATAACCCATATTTTAGTTCATTGGGAGACTATAACTCAATACCATTGGCTGGTGGCTTTAAGAGTAGAAATTTATTTCTTACAGTTCCAAAGACTATGAAGTCCCAAAGATCAGGGTGCCAGCAGATTTGGTGTCTAATGAGGCCTCACTTCTTGGTTTGCAGATAGCTGTCATATGTCCTCAAATGGTGGAGGTAGCAAGCTATAGTTCCGTTTTTCTTTTCTTTTTCTTGTTACTGGGATTTGAACCTAGGGATGCTTTACCACTAAGCTATATCCCCAGCCCTTTTTATTTATTTATTTTTTGAGACAGGGTCTTGCTAAATTGTGAAGGATAGCCTCAAACTTGGGATCCTCCTGTCTCAGCCCCTCAAGCCTCTGGGATCACAGGTCTGTTTTTCTAGTTTTTCTCTTTTCTTATTAGAACACTACCCATTGGGCTGGGGATGTGGCTCAAGCGGTAGCAAGCTCACCTGGCATGCGTGCGGCCCGGGTTCGATCCTCAGCACCACATACAAAGATGTTGTGTCTGCCAAAAACTAAAAAATAAATATTAAAAAAATTCTCTCTCTCTCTCTCTCTAAAAAAAAAAAAAAAAAAAAAACACTACCCATCATAAGGCTCTACCCTCAAGACCTTATGTAAACCTAATTACTTCCCAGAGAACCCTAGCTTCTAATATTGTCACATTGGAGATTAGGGCTTTAACATTTGAATCTGTGTAGGACAAGATATACATTCTAAGTCAAGGACTATATATATATTTAATAGGAACTAGAATTAGAGATGAGGTTAGTAATTAAGGGATATGCTATCAGGAAAATATATATTTCCATGTATATATATAATGAATGATTAATGATGTTGATTATAGAACTACACTTTTCTTAGTTATTTGTAATAAGAACACTTTTTCATCATTTTTAAGTCTAATGTAGTAAACACATGGTTACTATCATAAAGAAGCTGGGGTATCGCTCAGTGGTGGAGAACTTGCCTAGCATGCTTGAAGCTCAGGGTTCAATCCCCAGCACTGAAAAAAAAAAAAGAAAGAAAGAAAAAAAGAAAACCTTCATACTACTGGGTCAGTGCTTTTGGGGGTAGGTGAAGTGATTTAATTTCCTCCTCCTAGCACAGTACATAACACCTAGTAACCGATTAATATTTATGTGTTGATTGATTTCTGATCTGAATCTGTAGCCTGAATGCAGTTTGTGTTGTGTCAGAGAGCCTTTATAGCATTAAACACACATATTGTCACTTGTAGAAAGAGTCTTTGATTCTCCCCAGTCACTTAGCAAGTTCCAGATAGTTTTCCCTCTGATTTAGGAATATGCATTTTGTACTAGTATCCACCTTTGAAGTTTAGCACAGTGGTTTCAGGAAAATGACTCTGGTTTGTGAATTTAGGAGTACCTAAACTGGAAAAGTCCATAGTTCTGATATAGTTAGGTTACTGCTAGAAGATCAGACTCTCAAAGTTGAAGACACAAGGTTAAAAATTACTTAAATTTAGAGATGGGTATTATAGATAGCCAAAGAATCTTTGTGTGGAAGGAAAGAAAACATGATTACACTTTATTCTTGTACTTTATTTTGTGAACAATTGAAAAATTTGAAAACTGGGTTTTGTTATAAAAACGGTAAGGAAAATAATAAATGACAAAAGAAAAGTAAAACCAAATGAAGTTCAAATTCACTGATCACTAACCAAAGTTATTTCTCTGTGCAGGTATAATTTGGTTTCCTGAGATTCTGTCTTAGCAAGAAAGAAGTGGGAAATACTCCTCAAAAAAGAACTAAAACCATAATAAAGCCACAATTTATTATTACATGGTTGTCAGCTTATTTACCAATATGGACACTTTTCCCAACATTTTTCCAACTGGTGGAGACACTGGACTAAATTCTGAATCTGAGTTCCAAAAAATGTTAATTGATGAAAGATTACGATGTGACCATCATAAAACTAATTATCAGACTCTCAAAGTTGAACACACAAGGTAAATTACTTAAATTTAGAGGTGGGTATCATGAGATTGTTAAAAAAGTTATTGTCTAAATGTTTGCTCTGGATCTGTAGTATAATTTTATTATTTTGCAGTGTATTCATTCAACACTTTCAATGTAGTAAAATTTTAAAATTACTTTGTTCAAAGCAATGATATCAAGTGGGTTGGGTTTATAAAATCTTATTTTCAAAATAGCAAGACAGAATTACCCAGGTGGCTAAATATCTTTTTCCCTCTGATTATAAAGTTGCGTTCAGATACTACAGTGTTAATAAAGTAATGCAGTTAGAGAACAAAGAACATACTTAAAATTGAATTTTTTTAATGTTTTTTTAAATCAGATTGCAGGGTGAGTACATAAAATCACAAAATGAACTCAAGCGCTTGTTAAATGAAAAGGAAACAAACCAGGAAAAATTCCAGCTACTGCTTGAAGAGCTAAAAGGGGAATTAGTAGAGAAAACTAAAGATTTAGAAGAAATAAAACTGCAGGTAAGACAATATATTTGAGTTTGTATAAAACTAGTCAGATAGGGGAAGTAAGTAGTTTTGATAAATGTGTTAAATTGCATCTTTTTCATTTTTATTTTTGGCAGTACTGGGAGGTCAAACCTAGGGACTTGTACATGCTAGGGAAGTATGCTCTACCATTGAGCTCTGCATCTCCAGCTCTGTCTCTTTATCTTTAGTGATTTTTTTCTCTGCTATATTTCCAGCTGCTATAATTTAATCTTCTTTTATGTGTTCTAGAATATTAGCTATCATGAAAGGGAAACCATGAAACAAACTTATGTAAATTAGTACTATATTACCTACTCTGAAATATTTCAACATTCAGAATAATTAGGGAAAGGGCCAGTTTGAGTTGATTAAAATTCAGAATTAAAGAATTTCTTTCAAAAGATGTTACTAGTTTTTGTGTTTATTACAACTGAAACTAAAGTAAAAATGATTGATGGTTATTTTTTATCATTTTGTTACTGGGGATTGAAACCCCCAGAGGTGCTTACCCATTGAGCCACATCCCCAGCCCTTTTTATTTATTTTTTATTTTGAGACAGAGTCTTTCTAAATTCCTGAGAGCCTCGCTAAGGTGCTGAAGCTGGATTTGAGCTTGTAGCCCTCCTGCCTCAGCCTCCTGAGGTTGCTGGGATTATAGATGTGCACTACTGAGCCTTATTTGATAGTTATTTTTAAAATAAGGAGTTTCTTAAAAGAGATTGTAAAAACAATATGTATGCACAATTTATGTGCACATTGTAAGGTAAATGGGTTTTTGAAGCAAAAGACAATTGATACAAAAATACTAAACTACTGTGTCCTGGGTATTTTTTACACTGGTTATTTTTCATGTGCCTCCAAACTAAAAAAAGGCTTAGTAGTCAAGCTTACCAGTCAAGCTTAGTAGTTTTTTGTTTTTTTAATATTTATTTTTTTAAGTGTAGATGGATACAACACAATGTTTTTATTTTTATGTGGTGCTGAGAATCGAACCCGGGGCCTGCCCGTGCCAGGGGAGCGCTCTACCTCTGAGCCACAATCCCAGCCCAAGCTTAGTAGTTTTAAATTAATCAATATGAATGAATGATATTTTCCGGTATCTCTTTACTTTCTGAATAGCATCAGCAAACAGTGGTATGAATAATAAGATTATTAATACCAAAGTTATAAGTTCATAGAGTAAGAAGGTAATTTTTTAAGTTATCTAATCTGGCATGTCATCCAGCATAGATTTCCTTGACAGTATAGCCTTAGCAGTTTATCATTCAGAATCTTCAAGTCTTCTGCTGTTGGGAATACCACAAGGTTTGGTTTGGGGAAGGAGAATGCTTGGATTGGAATCTACACCATGCTCAGCTTCATTTCTAGATATATTTGGAACATTTAAACAAAATAAAAACCTCAGAGATGTGAGTGAAAGGGGGAAATGTAAATATAAGCCAGTAGAATCAGTGAATTAATTTGTTTTATGAATATTCAGAGGCTCAATTTAGCTATTTGCTTTAAGGGATGCTTGCAATTTGTGCAAATTATAAGTGAAGAAAACTTCAACAGTAAGATCATTAAGAAATTTTTCAGTGAAAATTTATGAAAGGTGATTATCTTAAAAATAATCATGTATTATCTAATTGCAAAAAATGTCTTGTCCAAGATTTACTGTTGTCACTGACTTTTATAGAAAATAAATTGAAAAGAAATTTATTTAAAGAGCATTTCTGCATAGTGAATAGGAATAATCATACCAAGCTCGTAGGATAATTGTAAAGATCCAATAAGAGATTGCATAGAAGGTTGCCACTACTGTGCTTTGATGTAGTTAGTGATCAATACGTGTTAGCTATTATTGTTACAGGCTGAATATTTCTTTTCTGCAATGCGTGGAACCAAAAGTATTTCAGATTTTGGAGTTTTAAAATTTTTTCATTTATTTGAATTGACTTACTGGATGAGCATTCCTAGTCTGTAAATCTGAAATCCCAAATCCGGAATTCTTTGAACATCTTGGAGCATTTTCAGATTTTACATTTTTGAACTAGGAATACTTAACTAGCATGTTGTTATTGTGTGCTAAAGGCAAAATCTTTTTCTAACACGAGAAATCATTGATATGTATTTGTTTAAAACTAAAAAAAGTTACCATAAATGTATATGTTGTTTTTGTGCCAGGCCATCAAAAATGTATAACCCATGTTTTCTATTTTGTTTTGGTTACTAAGATGCTCATATCAAAATTTATTACTTAGTTTCACTACTTAATATATTAAGAATTTTTGTCACAGTATTTGCCCTCTTAAATGAAAAAATACTTTGAAAACATTTTTTTTACTATTTGGCCACTTTACTATTACTGCAAGTGTTGGAGTATTAAAGGTTTGTTTATGTAGGTAATGATACCTAGGTTATAAGACAAGTAGTTGCAGTGCTTCTTTGAAAGTCTTAAATATGGGAGAGTTTCTCCTAAAATAGAATGGAGAAAATCCTGTAATGTCTTTGGTTTGTGTATGTTTGGGGTCTGGGCAAAGAAGAGATTTTTATTATGTGCTTAATTTTAATGATTCTAGGAATATATAAAAAAATCTTAGAGATTCTTTATTAGAGACCTCAAGGATCAGAAGACTTCTAAACCTTTATTTGCTATTAAGTGATCTAGGCCAGTGCTGCACATCACTGTAAAATTTAAAGCACTGTTTCCAAGAGGTATCTATGACATAATTAAACGTGTTTAAGGAGCTATGTGGGTATTGCATAGCTGCATCGCTGCACAGGGTAGCGAGCACAGGTCAGCTAACTTTCTGCTTACTTTGCCCTGTGCCTTCTACAAATTGTCAGCAAAGTTTGCAGGAGATCATTTGCCTCCACAGGACAAACCCCTTCTTACTGTTTGTTTTATATTTGTTCCGTGTATTCTTTGTTTCCCTTTTCATGTTTTATTTAATCTTTTTTTGTTGCTTATGACTCTGCTCTCTTTGCTGGCTTATTGGCATCAGCTGTTTGTGTTGCTTTAAATATTGCATTAGCCTTAACATATGCCATCTTTTACTTTAGGATTTATAAAATATAATTTATCTCTGCCAATCCCAACCATAAACCCCACACTAGATTATTATTTTTGTTTAAAATGCCATTATCTTTAAAACAGTTTTAAATAATAATAAAAATCATATATTTACCCATGTAGTTGTGGATTTCAGTGCTTTTCATTTCTGCATATATCCATATTTCCATCTAGTACTTTAAAAAATTTTTTTCCTGTGTTTTAAGGACTTTAACATTTCTTACAGCAGCTCTGCTGGTGAGAATATTTTTCAGCTTTTTATTTTTATATTTTTACATCAGAAAAGGGATTTTGTGTGTGTGTGTGTGTGTGTGTGTTTGCATGTGTGCGCACGCTAAGAATTGAACTCAGGGACATACAACCACTGAACCACATTCCCAGCCCTTTTTTGTATAATATTTAGAGACAGGATCTCACTGAGTTGCTTAGCACCTTGTTGTTGCTGAGGCTGGCTTTGAACTCACGATCCTCCTGCTTCAGCCTCTCAAGCTGGAATTACAGGTGTGCACCACTGCACCTGGCTGAAAAAGTTTGTTTTATAAATTTTCACTGAATATCATATTCTAAGTTAACAGATTTTTCCCTCCAGTATCTTAAAGATGTTACTCTATTGTCCTCTCATTATGTTGTTTCACTGTTCTTTAGTTTGGTTTGTACCTAAGCTTTGGCTTCCTTCTTCCTTTGGTGCATCATTCTTTCTATCCAAAAAATCTTTTTTCTTTGTCTTTACCTGTTGGGTAAAGCTTCCATTGCCTACTTTATTTGTATGTATGAGGTATTTTTCATTCCATAATTTGATTACTTAGGGAAAAAATAATGAGCTTCAGGTGGGTCTTTGTGATCTTTAGAAAGTTATTTAGATTTTAGGGTGCCTCATTGAAGCTACATAGTGGGATTGTTGTGGGGCTTAAATAAATTATTGCAGGTAAGATGCTTAGAGTAGTGTGGTATGTACATTATAGTACATTGCACAATGCTTTTGGTTTAGTGGACTTTAATAGTAAAATGTAATATTTTAAGTAAAATATATGGAATATTGATAATTAAATGAAGTAAGTTGAGCATTTTCATAGAAATTTACATAATTCCAGGCTAGATTTTTTTTTTTTTTTGGTGGTTCTGGGGATTGACCTCATGGCCTTATGCATGTTAGGCAAGCACTCTCACACTGAGCTACGACATCCTCAGTCCTAGATTAATTTTATAACCAGTATTTGGGCATTCATGAAGTAATAATTGAGTGATTTCTATGTAGTGGGCGTTGGTGGGAAGTGTCTGCAAATACAGTGAGGAAAAGACAAACTGTGTTTGCTTATATGAACTTTATATAAATATTTAATCATTCATCGAAATATGAGTTTTATAAGAGTATGAGAGAGGAGAGCCTAAATTAGTTTTGCTGGTCAGAAAAAAAATTAGCTGTTTCTGACTGAAAGTCTGAAGAATTCTCTTGGTATAATAAAGTTTTATACCTTTATTAAGTTTATATATGTTAATTATTAATAGTTATTATAATTCAATTGTTATAATAATTTATTAAATTATGCCATAAGCCTTTGTATCCAAACCATAGCCTTAGTTGCCAACATGGTTGTTCATAATAATTACAGTATTAATTAGTGATTGTCTTTACCTCATATTAATGAAATTTTTGACATCTGGGAGAACCTTAAATTGAGATTCTAAAAGTATTTTTTCAAATAATGGTTCTATTTATGTAGTGATTGTGGTAAAATAGCTGCATTTTGAAAATATCTATGAATTGAATTCCATTGCCATAATTAGAAGGAGAGACTTGAAATTTGGAGAATTCTTTCAGTATTTGTAATTTCATATTTATAATTCTCTCTCTACATATTAGGTTTTAACGCCACAAAAATTGGAATTGTTAAGAGCCCAAATACAACAAGAATTAGAAACTCCAATGAGAGAACGTTTACGGAATCTGGATGAAGTAAGTAATTATGTAGATGAACTATTCATTTATCTTCATGTGATTATGAAAGTTGATGAAAAGCATCCTTCCTTTACGCAAAATCTCTTCAGTGGCTCCCCTTTAAAGAGTCCATATTGTGGCCTCTAAGGCTTCACAGGATTGCAGTGCATTATTTCTCTGGCCTCGTTTCCTCCATCCTAATTGGCCTCTTGATGTTTCTTTGGCACTCTAGAAGTGGTGTAGTTCAAGAGCCATTGCTGTAGCATTATTTCTGCTTTGAATATTCATCCTCCAGATTTATCTTGGCTAACTTCTTCATCTCTTGCAAGTCTCTATTTAAAATGTTACTTTTGTCACTGAGGCCTACTTGACTTCCCCCTCATCTTTCCCCATTTAATATTGCAATCTGTTTTCCCCATCACTACTTAAATCTTTGGATCCCCCTTACCTTGCTGTATTTTTAATCTTTTCTCAAGTACCTTCCACCTTCTAACACGCTAACTGATTTATTTATTGTGCTTATTTTCTGTTAGCACCTTTAGAATGGAAGTTGCACAAGAGGAAGAACTTCTCTATTTATTTTGTTCATTATTTCAAGTTCCTAGAATAGTTCGTGACATACAGTATATAGGTGCTCAATTAGTGTTTTTCCCCAATGAAGGAATGCATTTCAGCAACTTCAGATAGGAAAATATTTGTTAGTTGTCCTTCAGGTTGAGACCGGTCTCCTTTTATAAAGTATTAGTATGATATGATTAAATGTTTAATAAAAGGAAGAGGAAAAGACTACAGATATTAAGTAGATTTGGTATTGTGCTAGACATTTTGTACTATACCTTTTTAAACAAATATATTTAGGCCTTATATGTACAAATGATCATTGTCCCCTTTCAAGTGGACCCCTTTGGGAGATTATAGTCTAGTGATATACCATTACATGGAATGGTCATGGAATCCTCTTTTATAATGATTTATTGGCTTGATACTATGATCTTTTGAATATATTGCTAGTGGCAGTATTCTGGTTTGAGAATAGATTTAATTTTTGGAAATAAAATCACTCAAACTTAAGTTAGTTGATAAAGTAAAAAGAGGTTTTTAAAATCAAAACAAATTATCTCTAATATCATGAAACCCATTTTCTTGGCTTGTCAACTGGCTTAGGAACCTTTCAACTAAAGATATACAGTGATAAAAACAAAAACAAAAAAATTACAGCAAGGCTGATTGATACTTCGAGAGATATTTTCCCTCATTACCTAGTTTCTTAATACTTCTTGAAATAATGTCTCTTGCATCTTTCTGCTATATTGCCTGTTTCTTGTTAAGTTTTTATTTTTTTGTTTCTTTTTTAATTTATAAATGACAGCGGAATGCATTACAATTCTTATTACACATCTAGAGCACAATTTTTCATACCTCTGGTTGTATGCACAGTATATTCACACCAGTTCATGCCTTCATACATGTACTTTGGATAATAATGACCATCACATTCCACCATCATTTCTAATTCCCATCCAACCCCTCTGCCCTATCTAGAGTTCCAGCTGTTATAGGTGATTAGGAAGCAGGATTGGAGCCCCCTGGGGAATTGTATGTGTTTCTGGTGAGTGAGAGACAGTCCTACAAATATCCTTCAGGGTGGTGCAGTATGTTGAGCTATCATTCTAATATTTGTTTGCACCTTAAGGTACTCTACTAAATATTCTGTTCTTTTATCTACTTTGAGTTCATCTTGCCTAAATTTTAGAGGAGTATCTTATACTTTAAAAAAATCTAGCTATATTTTGAAAGGTGTGTTGCATTCTTAAACATTATTTATTAAGACCAGAGGTCACACCTTTTTCATGCTGTACATTTTTTATTATAATGAGGATCAGTGAAGAAACAACATTAATTAAATGATAATTGTTTTCATTGATACCATCTCAGTAATTCTGTCTGTAGGATGCTTAGGAGGACTTTTCTAAGTTTCATTTGTATTCCTATTAATTTCGTTTTTTTATTTTCAGAATGGCTACCGATATACTACGTAGTTTTATTTCTAAAAGTGATTTTTTGGACTGAGTACAAATTTCACTTTTAAATTTGTTATAAATTGCAATCTTATTTTAGGAAGTGGAGAAGTATAGAGCTGAATATAATAAGCTTCGCTATGAACATACATTTCTCAAGTCAGAATTTGAACACCAGAAAGAAGAATTTGCACGCATTTCAGAAGAGGAAAAAATAAAATATGAATCAGAGGTAAGTAATTGATTATACTAGTTTATTCAAAATTTCTCTAGTCAATAAAATTTTATGATTACGTATTTTTGTATATCTCGAATTAGAGTTGATTGCATGATTATGTTTTAATAATTAATGATGAAGTATTTGTAATGGTTTTCATTTACTCTCTAACAACATTTTTTTTGTGAATGTTCTGTTTTGGCTGTTTGATTTTTAAAATTTCTTTGCTCTTTAATTTTTCTCTGCCAATTGAGATAAACACTTTGGGGATTTCCATACTATCTCTTGTCTCCCATAGCCATGGACATAAATTTCTAGTTTATGTGATAAATATAGATTATGTGATTCCTTGTTTAGCAGTGTCCCCTCTACTTCTTGAACCAAACTACTGCCTGGGGAGCTCTAGCTGTCAGTCATAGCACCTTGTTTCCATTGATAGAAACAAGGAGATTTTACCTTCATGTATGCCCACCACCTGCAGAAAGTATACTTTCTTCTTTCTGACATCTGCAGCTGCAAAATTTTCTCTCTGCTGCCTACAGCATGCACTCCTATTCCATCTCCATTTCTTTTGCCAGCTTTTCTACTCATTTTCAGGTTTGTCTCCTAGTTTTACTAAAAATGGGGATTCTGTTTTTCATTCCTCATGTTACTTTCAGATGCTTTTTCAAGAGGGAAGGAGAGAAATACCAATTTTCTTCTGCACATTCATAAAAAGAACTTGTTGGGCTGGGGTTGTGGCTTAGTGGTAGAGCACTTGCCTAGCAAGTGTGAGGCACTGGGTTCGATTCTCAGCACCACATTAAAAAAATAAATAAAAGCAAATAACTTGTTGTCTGTAGGTAGGTTATACATTTCTTTGTAGAAACATTTGTATTTTATATTTTTATATTAATTTTATTTGGAATTGAGTTAAAATATTATTCCTTCTTTTACCAATTATTGTTTATAATGTTCTAGGTATCTAATAAAAACTAACTTAAATAAATAAATATATGTGTATACATGTGTGTGTGTGTGTGTGTGTGTGTGAGAGTGTGTGTGTGTGTGTGTGTGTGTGTGTGTGTGTATAATGTTGTAGATAGACACAATACCTCTATTTTGTTTACTTATTTTTATGTGGTACTGAGGATCCAAGCCAGTGCCTCACATGTACTAGGCAATAATAAAAACTAAAACTGTGCCTTTGTAATTAGGCTGACTTATTCTTTTTTGTTGTTATTGATATTTTTAGTTATACATGAAAATAGAATGTATTTTGACATATCTTACATACTTCCCATTCTTGTGGCTGTATATGACATGGAGTTACACTGGTGGTGTATTCATATATGAACATAGGAAAGTTATGTCCAATTCATTCTACTGTCTTTCCCATTCTCATTCCTTTTCCCATCCTTCCCCTCCATTCCCCACTGTTCAGTCCAGTCTAGTGAATCACCCTGCCCCAGCCTATTTTGGGTCAGCATCCGCATATCAGAGGGTCCTTTGGTTTTTTGGGGATTGACTTATTTAATTTAGCAGATAGTCTCAGGTTCCAGCCATTTACCAGCAAATACCATAATTTCATTTTTCTTTATGATTGAATAATATTCCATTATGTACATGAATCACATTTTCTTTATCCATTCATCTGTTGAAGGGAACCTAAGTTGGTTCCATAGCTATTGTGAATTGAGCTACTGTGAACACTGATTTGGCCACATCACTATAGCATGCTGATTTTAAATCCTTTGGATATATGCTGAGGAGTCGGATAACTGGATCAAATGGTGGTTCCATTCCAAGTTTTCGGAGGAATCTCCATACTTATTTGCAGAGTGGTTGCACCAATATGCAGTCCCACCAGCAATGCATGAGTGTACCTTTCCCCCTATATTCTCACCAACATTTATTGTTACTTGTATTCTTGATAACTGACATTCTGACTAGAATGAGATGAAATCTCAGTATAGTTTTAATTAGCATTTCTCTAATTTCTAGGGATATTGAACAGTTTTTCATATATTTGTTGACCATTCTTATTTCTTCCCTGAAGTGTCCAGTACCCTTACCCATGTATTGATTGGGTTACTTGTTTTTTGGTGTTTTTAGTTCTTTATATATGCTGGAGATTAGTGCTCTGAGGTGTACGTGGCAAAGATTTTTTCCATTCTATAGGGTCTCTCATCATGTTCTTGATTGTTTGTTGTGAAGAAGCTTTTTTAGTTTGATAAAATCCCACTTCTTGATTTTGGTGCTTTAGGAGTCTTGTTGAAGAATTTGGTTCCTAAGCAGACATGATGGAGATTTGAGCCCACTTTTTCTTCTAGTAGGCGTGGGGTCTCTGGTCTAATGCCTAAGTCCTTGATTCACTTTTTAAATTTTTTTTATAGTTGTAGATGGACACAATACCTTTATTTTGTTTGTATAGTTTTTTTATGTGGTGCTGGGGATCAAACCCAGCTTGGCAAGTGTTCTGCCAATGAGCCACAACTCCAGCCCCCTTGATCCACTTTGAGTTGAGTTTTACACAGGGTGAGAGATAGGAGTCTTATTTTTATTTATTTATTTTTTATTTATTTAGTTTTTAAATTTATTTTTTAGTTGTAGGTGGACACAATACCTTTTTTTTATTTGGTGCTGAGGATTGAACCCAGGGCCTCACGCATGCGAGACAGTGCTCTGTGGCTGAGCCCCAGCCCCAGCTCTTTATTTTATTTTAATACATATGGATTTCCAGTTTTCCCAGCACCATTTGTTGAAGAGGCTATCTTTTCTCCAATGTATGTTTATGGTGCCTTTGTCTAGTATTAGATAACTTTATTTATGTGGGTTTGTCTCTGTGTCTTCTATTCTGTCTTCATACCTGTTTTGATGCCAATACCATACCCTCTTTGTTACTACAGCTCTATAATATAATTTAAGGTCTGGTATTGTGATGCCGCCTTGATTCACTTTTCTCTGTGAGGATTGTTTTGGCTATTCTGGGCCTCTTATTTTTCTAAATGAATTTTATGACTGCTTTTTTTATTTTTATAAGAATAGGCTGACTTATTCCTACCAGTGAGCAAACTGTTACATGATTATTCTATATTAGAACCTATCTGAACTGTGAATCATTTGAGTCCATCAGCATGATAGTACCAGAATACTATAAATATTTATATTTTTTGTGTTAAAAAATTCTTTTCAGCTTTATGCGCTTTATTATGCATTTATTATATCGATTCTATCATAAGAGTCAGTGAGATGGAGTAGAGCTGTCTTTTTTCATCCATTTAAAATATATTTAAAAAAAATATATGTGTATATTTTAGTGGGAGATAGACAAAATGCCTCTATTTTATTTACTTATTTTTATGTGGTGCTGAAGATCCAAGCCAGTGCCTCACATGTACTAGGTGAGCACTATACTACTGAGTCACAACCCTAGTCCCTTTTCATCCATTTTATCTTATGATTTACTTATTTATTCATTCATTTATTCTAATTAGGTATATATGATAGCAGAATGCATTTTGACTCATTGTACACAATTGCAGCACAACTTTTCATTTCTCTGGTTGTACACAATGTAAACGTTGCACCATATGTGCAGTCCTACATGTACTTATTCTACCATCGTTCCTTCCCTATTCCCCCTCCCTTTGTCCAATCAAAGTTCCTCCATTTTCCAATGAGCTCCCTCTTTGCCCCCATTATGGATCAGCATCGACTTATCAGAGAGAATATTTGGCCTTTGGTTTTTGGGGATTAGCTTACTTGGCATAGCATGATATTCTTTAACTCCATCCATTTTACCTGTAAATGCCATAATTTTTTTCTCTTTTAATGCTGAGTAATATTCCATTGAAGAGGCACAACATAAATGAATTGTCCAAATTCTCACACAAAGTTAGCAGTTAGGTTAATGATAGAACTCGAAAATCCCAACTTAGGTATCTCAACCCCAAACCTAGAGTTTTTAAGTTTGAAATGAACCATGATTTGAAGGTTCACTCTGATCAAAAGCCTTCCAACAATTGCAATTTTTTTAAGTGCTCTGTTGACTTACAATATCTATAATTATAAAGGTTTTGAATTTGTTAGTATTGTTGACTTACTGGAACTCCATATAAAATTTTTCTTGTGGAAAATAAAAATGATAAAGATTTCTCGCCTAAAATGAAGATTTAGCATATTAAGAGTGACTGTTGAAGTTCCATACTGTGGTCCTTTATTTAGACTTTGTATTTAAACAAATTAAATGATAAATCTGGTAATGTTTATTTGTATTTTCCAGTATCTCAGTTTTGTTGTTTCTTTTTAAAAAATAAAACTTACATCAGAAATCTAATGACAAATCTATTTTTCACCCATTAAATACGAAATGATTTTCAGAGTTTAACATTTTATTGAAAAAATTTTTTTAATTATTATTTTTATTTTTGAGGAATGCTGGGAGTTAAACCTCTCTACTATTAAAAAATTTTAAGGGTGAGTGAGTGGTGTCATTAACTTTTATAATTGGTATATCTTCTGATAATAATCTGAAGATAAACTACTAGCTAAGAAGTCATAATTAGTAGAATGTATAAAAGTAAGACTTTCTGATAAACTGGGTTTTTTTCCTCTTCTACTTGCCAATTGATTATTAAGGAACAATATTATTAAGTAAATACTTGAGGATTTACTTTCATTTTATCACTTGTTTTTATACTCCAGTTTCTATACACAAACACAGAAAAACCTGGTGAGGTACTTGTGTGTATGTCATGAAGCCCCAAATGTAATTTCAAAGATAGTTTATAGTAATAGTAAATATAGTTTCAAAGTAGAATCTACTCTTGTCACCTTCCCATTTTACAATTTAAACTAGTGTTATATATACAAATTCATGTAATAAAGTGCGAACATACCTTGTTTTATTACACTTTGCTTTATTACATTTCACAATTATAACTTTTTTCATTGATTGAAGGATTTTGGCAGCTTTATATTGAACAAATCTGTAGGCATCATTTTTCCAAAAGCATGTCCTCACTTCATTATTT